TAAAAAAACAATTTCTGAAAATGAAAAAAAAGAACGTGAAGAAAATTATGAAAAAACAAAAGAGATTCCAACATGTTTTCTTTGTGAAAAAAATCATTAGAGATGTAGTAATAAGAAATATAAAAATTGTTGCAAATTAAATGAATGTAATGATATAGTTTGCTCTTATTGTAAAACTACAAATCAACAATGTAAATGTGTATTACCAAAGAATCAAGAAGAATTTAATATTTTAAAAGATCTTGGATTAACATTTAGTTCTGGACAATATGAATATACAGAAAAAGGAAAATTACATGAACAAGTATATTTTCAGTTTAAGGAATGTCAAACAGTAGCTTCAGCAAAAAAAATTTTTGATCATAATTTAATGAATTTTCCAAAATATTTAAATGGAGATTCTCAACAAAATGTAGATTATAGTAAGAAAAAATGGAACCGATGTAAAGAAACAAAACATAAAAAAAAATGTAGATGTGATTTTCAAACACGTGAAAAGATTTGTGATACTTGTGAAAGTTCTTGTATTGAAAAAAGAACTTTAGCAAGATGTACTGATAAAGAAGGTCTTGAATTACAGATAGCATTAGCTGGCCCATTTGAGTTTGGTGAATTGAGTTCATGCCACCTCCAAGAGAATTTTTTGAATGCTCTGAAGATTTAGTTAAAAAGAAGACTGAAGAGCATAATGCTGGAATTGAAGGAAATAATATGATATTGAATGGATCAACACCTTTAGAAGTTTTCAAGCAAAATAAAGATAAAGTTCCTTTTACAAATAATTATAATTTTATGAAGAAAATTTATCAAGATTTAATTACAATAAAAGCAAAAAAAGTTGAGAGATTTTGGAGACCAGTGACATTTTACTTTTTTGGTGATGGTGGAGCAGGAAAATCAAATCTTGTGCAAAAGTTATTCCGTTCAGAATTTTACTTGAAGAAAAAAATGCAGAAAAGTGGAAGTATATGGTGGAATGGATATGAGAATCAATCAATTGTTTTTTTGGATGAATGGTATACAGTGGTTAGATGGGATAATATTGTAACTTATTTGAATGATACTCCTGCAGAAGTTGAGGTTAAACGTAAAGGATTTAAACCTTTTCTTGCAAAATATATATTTATGACTTCATGAAGATCTCCAGAAGAATCATTTAATTTTGGTCAACGTAACAGAAGTGAGGATGAGGTTTATAGGGATTGGGGACAGTTTGACAGAAGACTTGATTTTATCATTAAATTTAAAGGAAAATGGAATGATGATATTGATTTACGTACAACAGAATTGATATTTCATAGAGGTTCAGAAGAGGAG